TGATTTTTATATCTACACTGAGAAAGAATATAGTCACTTTTACAATAAATATTTAGTTGAATACTGCTAATTAAATATTTATTAAATGTAAAGATACATTTATCTGATACAAGAACCATTTTTTTTTATTTAACAGATATTTATTTACTGTAAGTGTTTAGTTGACAATATTGAACTACATATTTTTAAAAATTGAATATATTTTTTTCTCAATGTAATAATCGTAGCACGTTACTTTTATGTAGTCAAAAAGATTTATTTCTCGAAGATCTAAATATGGAGTTCTTTTCAGATTTTGTATAAATATACCAAATAACTTTTATTATACGTATAATTCTCTCTCTTTCATTGTGTAAAATGACAAAATAGATTACTTGTAAAAACTTATAACACATTTGTCAAATTAGATTTTCAAAGATCATGATAAAAGTTGTTTTCTCCTGCTACATAAGTTATTATATAAATCTCTTCTCACATAGTTGAAAGGAAAGCAAAGAAAATATTTAATCTGTCTCGTGAGATAAAAGCTATTGACGAAAAGTAGATATTTTTATCAAAAATTATGTTGTGATAAATATTTCAACAACAAAAAGATTGTACATGTTACAATGTTTTATGGATATATTTGCATTTAATGAATGAAAATAATTAAGAATCCCCCATCCTATTTTTGATTCATATTATCAAAAACTTATTTGTCAAAAGTATGTATTATCAAAAATTTGTTTGTTGACTAATGTAATCGAATGGAAAGATTAAGCTGAACATCCGGTACAGAGACATTTCCTGTGCAGAGACAAGAGGTTTACTTATTGCCGATATCGTCACGATAACAATAACTTGCGTGCGTCCTCGGGTTCAGCCTACGCGGCCTTCGTATCAAAATGTATTATCTCGTGTGCGCCAAGAGTACGGGGGATGTACGACGGTAGTGAAAGTGCGTCAGTACTGTGTACAGAAAGAACTTTGCTGAAGTATCAAAAAATTTAGCTACAAATCTGAAAAAAACGTTGGACCATCCAAATAACTATATCGATCACTCAAGCTAGTAGAAGCTAAGGTTGCTAAAATGTTACAATTTTTTGTAGTATCATCACGCTTTAGTAGTATCGTTGCTTATCAGCTTGGTAAAATAAATTGCAATGTTCAGGAAATATTGACATTTAACGGAGATAATCCATAAATCGTGCTTGAGGTGTCTTACATAATTATTTTGATGGTCCAACGTAATTATTATTTTTAAATCTATAACTAGCTAAATTTTTGGATCTTCAGCAAAACCGTTCCCTGTGTCGTAAGAGAAACGAGTGTGTATTTCCAGCAATGTGGACGCCTGCCGGTTCCAGTATGGCGAGTTCGATATCGCAGATGAGCGGCGTCACGACGCCTCCCGACGCCGTGCAGCTTGCGACACGTGATTGAACGCGGTCGCGACGACCACCGTGTTGTCGTGTACGCGTCTCTGTGCATCCCGGATCTGCACGTGTGTACAAGTGTATGTGTATGTGTGCGGTATGCGGCTCACGCATACGCGTCGCGCGCAAGTTACAAGGGCATACTGGACAAGACTAGATGTACATATGACGAAATGGAGTTCTACGCGCCATGAAACACGCAGAAGAACCAAGAGGAGACCGTGACTCGCTACCCGTCTCCGGCTTAAGAGCTAAGGGAAAGATTTCGGGCTTTCTATCGCACGAATGGACTCGGTGTATACCAATGAACCAGGCATATAAATGAGCATATAAATAATTTTAATTATTTTTCTGTATCTTTAAGTACGTCATTCGCTATTCCAATTTATACATAGAAAGAATGAATTTGGTGATGAAAGTGTTCGAAATTTAAGATACAGATTTGGAAATAATTTCCATAAAAATAATTATGTAAAATGCTTAAACTGATTGTTAAAATGCTAGAACTTTTTACAACATTGTCAATAATGTTTAAGCATTCTATATATAATTATTTTGATAATCTAACAAAATTATTTTAAGAGATCTGAGTAAAATTTTGTAAATATTTCAGTAAAAATCTTTCTTTCCGCGTTATAGAAAATTAATCACATTTTCGAATTTGTTAACAAAACTATTTGTTTGACTAAACGGTTTTTATGGTTCGCGTTGGATGAGAGACCAGCTGTAATCAATTTTCTCGATTATCCTGTATACGACGATGATAAGTCTGATCCGATCGATCGTATAATTACGCATGATTCGCCTCGGTACTTTGTACCTCGGTAATCAAGCGTAATCTAGATTAATAGGCACGCGTCAGGCGATTGCAGGACAGTCCCTCACATCGCGAGCGTACACCGCGTCCATTTTTTTTTCGTTCAGGATGACGATTCTCCGACAGGTTCAATACGCACGACTGCTCTCAAACACTACTCTATTTGTACAGCCTTAATAGCGCTAGTTCTTCTCCAAAAGCGGGTTTAAAAACGAGGCTACTTCGGTATCGTCCGATCAGCGCGATTTTGCAGGCGGAACGACGTCGAGGCACGTCGGAGAAAAGTATCAACCGTCTTAGAAGAAATATCGAACAATGTTAATCGTGATTGCACGCGGGACGAGGCATACCATCGTAACGAACGCGTCTTCTCTGTCGATCAGTTCTCAACATTGTAGATATTATCTCTCTATTCAAAATGACTCTTCAATCAAGCGGTTCAAAATACGTACATATGGAAGATACAGAAACAATCTGTACACATTTTTACAATTTTAACAATTAAAAAATTTTACATATATACTTGGCGCAAAGGATTGTGCCTCTTTATAATTATATTATATATACATATAATTTCACCGATCACAATTAGAAAAATACTTTAATTTCATTGTCAAAGATTCAATCTTTTCGCGACGTAGACAAATATATTGTAAAAATTTGAAACTATGTAGTCTCTCAATTTAAAAAGAATTACGCGAGACACGCGCTACTTAATAAATCAAGCTCGTTTCGACACTTCGACAGTCATCGATCGATTCTGTCGATTCTGATACGCTAGAATACGCGTTATTACAACTGCCCTAATGCACGTTTTTGCGCGGCTATAGTACAGCACCGTAATATACACCTTAGAATTAATTAATTTGTCAATATTTCATATGCACCAAAAGTGTAGAAGTTTCCAAAACTAGCGGAATGCTCGAGTCTCTCTCGCGAAAGTGCATTCGGTAAAAGGCAAACGTGATCTCCCGGTTTGATTGCGCTTATCACATGTAGTCGCGGTCGCGTGGTTCCTTCCGGTTCCGAAGATGAGAATCTCTCGTTTTGATTGATTCGCAAAAATACACAGTCGTCTCCCTCGTTCGCATCGGAAAAAAAAAAAAAAAGAGCCGGCGATGAACGCGGGGGATCGTCGCGGATACTCGACAAATCGATCCTCGCAACTTCGCACGAGGTTTAAAAACCACCTCGCGCGTATTCCGGGGGTGTATTTGTGTCAAAGGAACAATTTTCGAAACTTGATTTATGTCACTAGCAAAGCGAACGTGTCCCATATCAAAACTGTACAAGCGAAACGAGTGGAGAAGAAAATCGGCAAAACCGCCGCGCCGTTCATTATCGAGAAAGAAAGAAAGAGCCCTTCTATCGATCTAATGGCACAAGATCGTAAACATGGAAAAGATTTACAGCGAGAAATCGATCTCACATTCCTGGATGTAAAATTTCCTGAAATTCGAACAAAACGGAGCGAATCGTTGAATGACAATCGCTTGCTCGACGAATGAAGGGAAGAAAGATAGAGGAGCGAGAAAAGCTGCACCCAGTAAACACCAATACTAACGTAACATCAATGTTATCATTTCATATACTGAAGATAACGTAAATATAATGTAACGTTATATAATACAACATTTTGTATACGCACCAAGATGAAGAAGTTTCTAAGACTAACGGAATGCGTTCGAGTCTTTCGCGAAAGCATTCAGTAAAAGACGAACATTCTCCCGATTTGATTGACTAATGTAGCACACGTTGTAAATATATAACAGTTACATTACTGAGTGTGAAATTATAACGCTTATGTTACTCTTTCAGTTGGTATTAACTCGAACAGCTTTCGGTAGCTTCGAATCTCCCGCCGGCTCTCTCGCGTTCTCCAAAATGGCCGCCGCGATATGGGAATATCGGGGGGACCCCCCCTCATGCTACCTCGTGCGATCTCCCTTTTTCTCTCTTTCTTTCTCTCTCTCTCTCTCTCTCTTTGCATGCATATCATTTTCTCCTTGTTACACACATTCTCTCTTTCTCTCTCGCATATATGATACACACGCATTCGCCCGTCGCCGAGCGTGCTCGTGCATGTAAAGTCTTTCGCATGCGCGCAACACGCACGCGCGCACGCCCGCCACTCTCCCAAAAGCATCCTTTACGTTTCACGTTGTGTACGAAGGCACTCCTTCCTCCTTCTCCACCACGACCGTCATCTCCTCCTCCTGCTCCGCCTGCTGCTTACTGTTCTTGCCATCGTTGTGTGATCGTCTCCTCCCCGATCGTATCACAAAAGAACCACGAGAGGAAAACGGCGAACGTGCCGCGAACGATAGACTCGCTTCTTTTCTCCCTCCCTCCTTTTTGCGGAGATCCTTGTTCAGGATGGCGATATGATTATCCTGCGCTTCCCGAAGATACCGCCTTTTCTCTCTCAAACTCCTTGGCGATATCGAGAGACATAGCTGAACTGTACTTTTCTTTTATCTCCTTGGTAAAAAAAAAGAGAAAAGAAAACGAAGAATATTTGTATGAGAGGTTGAGATAAGAAGTGAAAAATGTTTCCGAACGATAAGCCCCATGGCGCCAGTCGAGATTTGTTCTCTTTCGATCGCAATCGCGAAAGAGGAGACCCAACACACCGTTTGCCGTTGCAAGAAAGTTCGTCTTATTCGCGAAGGGGCAAGAAGATGGGTGTGAGCAGCACGGTGACAGCAAAGACTCCTCCTCGAGGGGTTAGCGTTCGTCATCCCTCCTCGATTTGGGGAGGGGGAGCTTCAAAACTGGTTGTTGACGGTCATGATCTGACAGCCGGCGTGCACGTGGTCCATGACCTGCTCCTTAAGCCGGCACACGTGCTCCTTGAGCTTGTGCACGATGCCGCTCAGCTCGGTGTTCTCGCCCTTGAGCAGCTTGACCTTGTCCTCGAGCCTGGAGATGCGCTCGAGCTTGCGCCGTCGGCACTTGGACGCGGCCACGCGGTTCCTCTGCCGCTTCCTCTCCAGCTTGATCTTCTCCTGGTTCTCCATGTCGATCGGCGACATCGGCGGCGTGCTCGACACGCTCGGCACCGTCTGCGGCTCGTCCTTGACGTGTATCAGGCCGGGATTGCTCATGGTGGACTCTGTACTCTGCACGCTACCAGGCGGCTCCAGAGTCGTGTACGTGGCGCCTTGCATGCTGCCGGGTTCCTGCGAGCTGTCGGAGTGATGGAGCTCGTTGAGCGCGTCGACGAAGCCGCGCGCGTACAACTCCTGGGCCTCGGTGACCGCTTTGGGGAAGAGGATCTGGGTGGTCGGTGTGGGTAGACCGGTGACCAGACCGTCCGGTTGCGTCATGATGAGTTTCTCGAGCTCCGGTGATGCGAGCTTCAGCATGTTGAGATCCGGCGAACTGAGAATCGGGGTGACGTTGTTGAGGGCGGGTGGCAGTGGGCCCAACCGCGGCCTCTTCGCCTGCGAGCCCTGCCTCTGGCAACCGTTCAGGTCGAGCGTGAGGTTTCGCTTCAGCTGGACCACGCTGTGGTTCTCGCGACCATTCATCGCACCGTACACGCTCGCGTCCTCGTAGAACGTCTGCTCCATCGTTAGGTTGCGCACCATCGATACCGCCGGACTAATTCACTTCGCCTCGATTAGGGAATACCGAGGTTTTACCCTCGACTCCTTCCTATACAATTTCTCGCCTCCGGACGGGAAAGCGGTCGTTCCCCCCGGAGAGTAGTGGCACACACGACTTGCTCAGCCGGCCCAAACAGTTAATAAATAGAACGACGGACTTTTCTGCGAAGTCTTTCAACACGTCACAACGAGTTCTGCGACGTTCTCCTCTCTCTCTCTCTCTCTCCTTCTTTGCCTACGTCAACGCGCAAACACTTCGCTCCGCGCTGCAGCGATTACATAACAGCCGCGAGCGGCTGTACGCAAAAATTCACTCGCGGTACGAGACTGCCGCCTCTCTTTACTCCACGCCGCACCTCCCTCCGTCTCGCGGGACCGTCACGTCACTCGGCGTATCGCGCACCAATCACCGGCGACACCTGATACCCGAAGCAAAGTCGACGAAAATCGACGCAGAGAGGACAGCGATGTTTGACGCACGTCTGGCGTTACTACGCCGATGCAACAACAACCGGTTCGCGCTGAGGAGCGGCAACCTGCCTGCCCGCCTCGACTGTCAACACAACAATGACTCACGACACAACGTGTGGTGCGCGTGTGCGCCGACACTGCCGTCTTTCTGCGGAGCAGAACGATAACGTAGCAACGACGGGATCGCGGCGACGTGTTTTGCGCGTACGCGGATCACCCTGTCCGCCACGGTGGCCCGACAACTTGTGAACATCCAACTAAACGTACTCGCTTATATCCCGTGAGTCACGCCGGCCGAAAATAGCACTGTCGTCAGCGAGCGCTCTACCGATTGGTCGGCGATGTCGTCATTCAGTGCGCCTGATTGGCCGACCGATCGGAATTACTGGGAAATGACGGACGCATGCGCCCTTCGTTGGATATCTGTGCCGATAGTGGGGAGTTTGGCAGATAGGGAAGGGATCGAAATGCCGGTAACAAGATTTAAGGTGCCTCTTTACCTGACATTCATTTTCAAACAGCTAGAATCGCGGGCTGTTATTGAATGTCAGAAATGCAGAGGATCGTCTAAGATCATTTGAAACGTAGGCGCGGTACCGATAAAATTAATTTCGCAGACTAATTAATTTCTTTCACAACATTGATCGAAAGACTCGTCTGTACAGATGGGAACGAAGCTTTATGTTCGTTGTCTCGCTTCTACGCGACCGTCCGCAGATTTATGGTCTCCCTTTTTACCGCTTTGGACAAGCAAACGAGTTTCTACGTTTTACTGAAATTGAACAGTTTTCAAAAAGTTTGTGTAAAAAAATTAGGCGTCACGAAATCTGTTAAAAATTCGCATGTTTTTCAAGTCGCAAAATATTTGTTTAGAAAACTATAACGTATAAGGTTTCAATATCAATTTCGCCTATATTTCTTACAGATGTTCTAATTTTCTAAAGTTCGTATCGGACTAATTAAAAATTAAAATTGACCTAATCAGAATAAAACAAATAAACATTAAAATTGCTTGATTATTTGAATTATAATCTCCAATTTGCAATGCTCAATGTTGAATGCATACATCAATGGAAAATGTATGTTAAATTTAACACGCTTCAAGTGTGTTATCCCAAAAGATTTATCCAAATTTTTGTATTAATTTAACACAACATAAATATGTTAGAAAATAACATATATAAATATTTAATGTAAAAATAAACAAAAAATATAACACAATTTATAAGCAAATTGTGAAAGAATATTTCCTCAGTAAAATGAACATTTACAAAATATGCTAAAATAATACGTTTTATTTATTTATCTTATTGTTAGAAGTTACGTTTTAAACTACATTGTTTTTTGTTAAGTGTTCACTTATTGGTAAATAATGTTATATTAACACTAAAAAAATATTGAATATTACTTAATATAAATACAAAATGTTTTTACTGTACAATCTGATATGGATTTTATTATGGATGTTGGAAATTGGTTGACGATTAATTGTTGGTACCGTGAAACTTCCTTCGAGCGAAGGATACACTTTTTTTTTATAAATGAGAGCAACTCCAAACGAGAGTTACAATATTAACTACTCCACTCGTCACATCAATATTATTTGCATAAAAGCATATCAGCAAACCCTAATCTCAATTGTACTCTGCATAATGTCAGTAATCGGCCGTCTGCATCTTATACAATTGTGTTTGCGATGCACCGAGTGATTTTCAGGACGACCGAAACGATAGTCATTATCGTCCTTGGTTAATGCATTCGACCGTGAGAGCTTCAGGCATCAACTTCAAGATAAATCCACGCTTCAGGTTACTCATTTGTCACAAGTTTTGTGTATTGTTGTCACTCATTTGCATGTTAAATGCTATTTATCGCTCATTATCGTATATCAAGAAAAGAAATTTGAACGAGAATGCGTCTAGCAAATTTTTCGAAATGAATGACATGAATTTTTTAAGACTCCTACCTAAAGTTCGACTCTGTTCGACTAATATTTTTTATGATCTTTAGAGATTTCTCTTTACACGTCACATACAATATATATTTAATCTTTTAATTATTTTTTTGTTTTTTTTTAATAATTAATTTATTGTTGTATATCAGTATTTTAATATTTTAATTCGTGAAAACTTTTTAGAGGTATTATATCTACATTTTTATTTCTCTTATAATAAATCTAAGAAATAAATTTAATAAAAATACTACTGTATACGCTCGTTTATCGAGTGTATTTTCAAACAAATTTGCGTTTCACTACGTGCATTCCCCAAGAAAGCGCCTTTGATCGCAAATCTTTTCCAAGAAAATTTTATTGAAGGCTTGCGTTATTTGTTGAAACGTTATCCAAAATGTTTAGAAAAAGCAAAACAGACGCATTAAGTAATGAAATTTAAACGGCATTCTATGTTCCAAAGTAAGGTATAAAATATCTGATTAAGAAATGTATTTTGTAACACACATTTTTCTGCACACTATCATCTCCTTTCATAATATTATTACTGCAACAAGATTTCCTATCGAGAATATATATCGGACTTATGAATTACAATAAAAATGTGATTACATTAATCGAGCCAGCAATTATTGTTAGGTCTATATTTAGTCATAAATTTTGAGATGCTTCAACAAAGTCGTTCTTTCTATGTTTGAGTGAATTTCCTTTCGTTACCAGAATATAAAACGTGCGTATCATTAATTCAAGTGTCACGGTTAAGGGAGAAAAAGCAGGTGTTTCCTAAGTGACATTCGTGTGCGATCTCACATCAATTTCAATTATGCGATTCTCAACTCGCATTCGTATGTCGTAAAATAGGTGCGTGCACGCTCTTACGAAAGTAAAGACACGCGAGAGGATAATTGCATGCATTTCTCGAAGTGGACAGCTCCATCGACGGCATAGTTATAGGACGCTTCTCCTGGGTCTCGCCAGTGATTTTCCAGTCTGCACGAGGAAATGCAAGTGTGAGGCGTCAATATCCGGCGAGAACGACAAGCATGCGACGTGACCGATGGCATGCCGATACATCGGTTCACGTTGCACCTTCTGGTGTTCACGTAATGATCGATCATGTCGCTTCTAATATTCTTCCGCGATGTATCGCGTTACTTCCTCTTTTTAATGAGCGGCTTAACTGATCGAAAACAACATCGCGAGACAACTACGACTTTATCTTTTTTTCTATTCGCACAAATATATGAAATATACTTCTCAAAATCTCAAAAGCATCTTGAATTTTTTTTTAATTTAAAGATTCGGATTATCAAAAGTAACATTCTTAATTGAGTTTAAAAACTCAAAGCGATCGAGTTTCCCGAAAATTAAAATTATTAATATAAACTTTATAATAATATTATATTTTAAATATGTTGTTTTTTTAAATAGAATTATAAAAAAAATACTTCCAATAAAAGTTATTTTATTTATGAAGATCTATGACTTAAACAAAAAAAAAATTCCGGAAGTTTTATTATTTTTTAATAATAATTTAATATTCTGTCTTTCTACATTTGACTTTAAAAAAATTTGCTTATGGTGTAATGACCTCCTCTTAACAAGTTTCTGAATCAGCTAATGTATTACATATTACACTATTGTCGTATACTGCCGATTAAGCATACACATTTAAGCATATACATTTTGCAAGTAGTTATTTTTTTTTATCGGTTACCTACGTAAAAATTGAAACACATTAATCATTAAACTATACTGCTTAAAATTTAATCAAATTTCACAGTCGCTACTTTTTAGAGGCTTTACGTAGAACAATTTCACGAGGATTTCTCTCTTCCTCTCCTTTTCTCTTTCTCTGTTTTCGTTCATCTTGTTTTTCCCGGATTAGAGCTGCACGAACGCCGCATGGGCGAGGCAGTACCAGCTGCTTTTTTCATCTCGAAATTAAACAAACATAATTAATTTCCGCCCCCGCGCGCCCGTGCTCGCTCGCAGTTCTAGCGTGGAAGAGCGCGGAAGGTTAAATCCATTTATACATATACACATAACACTACTCGAGTACACGGAGGCCAAGCCTTTTTATTTGCGCACGAAAGCTGCCGGCCGTTTCCGACGGCGATCAATCATTTCACGGGAGAGCACGGCGAAATAGTTTCACCTCGCGCTTAATTTTGTGCTGGGGAATTTTCTGTTAGTCTCTTCATTGCAAGAACATTTTTTAGCAAAAGGTCTCTTCAATAAGAAAATCAGACAAAATGTTTAATCGAAAAGAGTGCAGAATGAGAAGCTCAATTAAAAACGCCTCGGCTTGGTAGAAGTTTAAAAGATTCAAAATGTTTGATAACGTAATTTCTCTGATATATTTCATATAATACAAAAAATAGCGATCACAAGAAAAGGCCAACACACTGCACTATACAAAGCATTCCAATAAAAGTAATAAGAACCAAAAACACTAAATATGAAAGACTGAACGAGTCATGCTGAAAATTCTTCGATGAATAAAGAAATAAGACGAAACAAGTCTGAAAACAATCGAGATCCGAGCAAAAGTCGTTTTGAAGAAATTCATTAATGTGTGTAAGCACAACAGAGAGAATATTCATGTAGAAAATATGTGTCTCAATGGTTGCCTAATTAGTAGGGAAAACTCGGAGACCAGGCTTCGAAACCGGATGTTATCAATCAGTGATATCCAAAACGTCGATAATGTTATGCATATGTATAAGCCGACAATATCATTATAGAGATTCGAATTGAGGTTTAACTGATCTTTGAGTTTCCCTTACTAGACAGTTACTCTACCATTGAACTACACAACCTTTACATGGACATTCTCTCTGTTGTGTTCCCTATGTATACAAATCTTATACATGTATAATTATAAAATAATAATCAGTAATAAAAAATATATTAGATATTATACAATACGTATTGCCTATTATTAAAAGATTATTATAATTGTAAATTAATTATTTAAACAAAGGCTGGAAAAAAATAATTTACTCGCCATCTCTACACACCCCAGTCATATTTACTAAAATAAATCTGACAGTATACAAAAGAATACGGTATTGTACCAGTAATACTGTAGAAGGAAGATGTATAGGCATATTTTGTACATGTATATCGATACTCATAATAAAAAGATCAATTATAGTTATGTGCGACGATCAACGGAAGAAGTAATATAATATTGGCAATATAATATTTTCTCAATATTATTAGAACTACTGAATCAATCATAATTTCCACAATTTCAACTAACACACACAATTTTAAAATTTAACAGCTATTCAGATAATTTATATATAATAATCCGTTTACATTACTCTATCAAAATTCAATTATAAAAAGAACTTTGCATAATATATCATCGATATCGATAATGCGAGTAATAATTTTCTTCATTAATCTTCATAATACATATCAGTCTCCTTTTTATTAACCTCTTCTTAATTTCCTGTAAAGAAATACAATTTCACGTCATATATAATAGTCGAATATTTTAAATAGCCCAAATTCTACTGGACATATTCTATCCAAGTAGAGAGAAGAGGTTTTACTTACTTATTCAAAGTAGGTTCTTTCAAATTTGTCGGCGCCTTTCTTCGTCTAGGACGATTAGAAGTGTAAATGCTACCCTCCAAATCTCGTTGATTATCGTCTTCATCAGACGTGACATCTTTTCTGTAAATCCAGAGTATAAAAGCAAGTCCAAGAGAAAAATGACTTATAACAACTTAATAGTTGTTACACATACATAACAGTTGTTATACATACATGACACTGTTAATGTTCTGAGCTGTTCTTGGTTTAACATGAGATTCATTAAGCTTCTCCAAAACGACTTTTGCTGTGCTAGGATCTCGATTGTCCTTAGACTTATTTCTCAGTTTCGTCTTATTTTTAATCGTCGGAGAATTTTCAGCGTGACTCGTTCTGCCTGTCATATTCGGTGTCCTCGATTTCTTAATACTTTTATTGGAATGCTTTGTCTTTTGCGGTATCGACGTTCTCTTATGATCACTAACTAGAATTATCGGCAGTTTTATCGTGATATGATTATAATCAGATTTATCTAAATTCTGATTCGATACCGATGCGATTGGAATACTCGTATTTCTTGGTAACGTGGTGGTTACTTTAGTGTCAATTTCATTATTGACAGCAGAATTATTTATCACGGATTCGTCCAAAACAGGCAGTCGCAACTCATTAATATTGAATTTCATATTTTGTCTTGATTGACGTAACATTAAAGTAAAGTCTTCTGTCTCTTCCGGTACTTCGGAATGTCCTCGTCTCAGCGTCACGAAACTAGTAAATTTCATTGTATCATTTGCATTACCATCTTCTATGTTATCTGAACTTCTTTTATCATTTGATGTAGTCGTTGTCGGAAGTATCTCGCAAATACTATCATTTGTATCATGCTCATGTATAAAGGAGTTACACTCGGAACGATCGGCAACGGGATATCTCTCTGAAGCTTGTACATCATTCATAGATTCATTTGAGTTCGATATATCTCCTACGTTGCTTTCTGTAACGCTTGACTCATCATATACTATCACTTGTGATGTATTATTATTAACGTCAGAGACGTCAACATTTTCGAGTTCTGGTTCATTATCTTGCGGTGGTATAGTATTGTTAAACAGCCAACTTGGACCTTCTAATGGATCTTCTTCCTCCCAAGTTCTAGTATTATTCTGCAGTTTAGAGCTTTCTGTTACACTCGAATTTCTACTAAAATCTTTATTGGAAATTTTATTATTTATTTGTACATCAGAATCCTTTTTCGATGTGTCTATGTGCGTTTCATTTTTCCCGTTCGAGTTAATAGGCACCTGTGATTCTGATTTTGCGTTTATTCTATCAGTCAGATGTTTGTCAGACGTGTCATCACGACTCTCTTTACTTTGAATGTCAATCTGAGTGTCAATTACCTATAGAGAGAGAAATAATAAAGGTGTATAAATGTAGTAATCTCTAAAAAATAAGGCATCAACATTAGCTATTAAGCATACTATTTTTACATCACACGGGTGAAACAATTTTTACTATAAAGAATGTGAAAGTACCACAATAATTTAAAAATATTATATTAGATTTTATTATAGTGCCACTTACATTAATATGTCCCGCAGTTGACGGAGTTTCATTAGACCATCTATTTCGTGATCGCGAAAAAGATACTGACAATCTTTTTGAATGGCTTCTCCTATTTCTTCTTAATCTTTGTTCATCTGTCACAGAAAGTATACTCAAATGTAAACATATAGAAAAATTTAAACTCAGTTAAAATTAATTATAAACAAAAGATAATACCAATTATGAGCCAACATGTTAATTGTGAATTATGTATGTTATTAAACATCAAGGTAAATTTTAATCTTTTTTGGATCATCTTCAGTACAAAACAATTAACAAAATTAACATAATTATAATCAAATATTAAACATTACGAATAGAATAAAATATACAGTTCAAAATATATACATGTAGGATGGATTACACACACAAATATCTGAATACAGTCGAATATCTTAAAACACATTTTTGAGAAAAATATTTCAGACAAAAATTGGATAGCATCGCCAAGGTTAAGTTTTTTTTTTAGTAAATTTTTGTAATTTGGTTCTTAATATTATATAATAATAAACAAAATCTGTTCTGTAGTGCAAATTAAGTGATATCAAAGTGAATGTTTTATTTAATCTTTTCCAAAAAAATCATTCTATAGAGACCAATAAGCAACTTTCCTGTTTACGAAAATATCGCAATTATTAGACATTACAATACTGTCAATAATTCCAAATAAAAAAAATTCATCTCTAACAGAGTTCTCCATCAACCTTCAATTAAATTACTATTCGTAATTTCTTACCATTAACCCTGGGTGAAGAAATTGTTAATCTTTCTGGTAATCTGCATGGACGACCATTTTCCTGAAACAATTGTTTAAAAAAAAGTTCATTATTTTTTAAACTTATGTAATTCTTGATAGTATATCCAAGCCAAATATTTGAAAATACTTTTTAAAAATTGATATTATTAGAATTACTGAAATACAATATAATATCCATATTGTTAAAAAAAAGAACAGTTGTTCCTTTAACAGTAATTCTTCAAATCAAGTAACAGTTATTGGGTTTAGACATTGTTATATAGATATTTTAATAAGTAATCTCAAAAATGTCAATTTTTAAAAAGTGTTTCCAAGTCTTTGACCTGGAGTATGTGATGATCGTAGCGTAGAAAGTTGTATGGCTGCTCTGATCCGGGTTCTGAAGATCCGGGTTCAAATCCACTCAGAACATACATATCAGATTTTATTTGATCACCTCACGGAAGGTAATGACAAACCACCATTGGTTTTTTACCATTAGAGAATATGTTTGCCATAACAATCTCTTTTAATAGGCCGTTCGGATACGGTGTTAAAAACTATAGGTCTCATCATCATATTTTAAAAAAAGGCGTGTAGACGTTTTTTTGAAGCCTCTATTCGTTGAGGCAGTTAAAGTAATCCGAAAATGATGAATTTTGGTAACAAGGAATTTTCGGGGACGCTTTTTTAAAAACTTGGTAAAAATTATGATAATTAAAAAAGACTTATCCAATATGGCGGACGGAAAAGATGCGAAAATCTTAAAGGTTTTCCGATTTCGGCAAAATTTGGATTAAGGAGGCTTACGCGGACGCTGATTTCGAATCCGTGATCAAAATTAGGAAAATCCAAATGGCTGATCCAAAATGGCGGACGGAAAGTGTTGCGAAATACATAAAAATTTAAAAATTCCAGCGAAATTAGGTAAATGGGGGTTACCGCAAACGCTGATTTTGATTCCGTGTTCCAAATTTTTAAATTCAATATGGCAGACGGAAATATTGCGGAAATCAATAAGATTTTCCGAATATGACGAATTTAATAAGACGCAAAGAAATGTAATTGTAATTTAAAGCTTAATAGACTATGCTTTGGTGTAAATTTTGTAAGAGAAAATTATATGATGGTTTAAAAAAAAAAAGAATCGCGCGCGTAGTGCTCTGAGAAGTTGGCACCCCTAAATGCGAATACTGGTAATATCATTATTGCATTCGTTTGGCCACTGTTTGTCCACGTTTGTCCACCCGTTATTTTCATTTGTCCACCCTCCAAAAAAGCTATACACAAAAAAAATTGTAACACCCCCAAGTGATTATTTTACACTATTACGAAAAATATAATAAACATAGGGTGGACAAACGAAAATAATGGGTGGACAAACGTGGACAAACAGTGGACAAACGAATGCAATAATGATTTTACCAATATTCGCATTTAAGGTGCCAACTTCACAAAGCTGCTTTGAGAAGTTGGAACCTCTAAATGCGAATATTGGTAAAATCATTATTGCATTCGTTTGTCCACTGTTTGTCCACGTTTGTCCACCCGTTATTTTCATTTGTCCACCCTCCAAAAAAAAGTTATACACAAAAATAAATTGTAACACCCCCAAGTGGTTATTTTACATTATTACGAAAAATATAATAAACATAGGGTGGACAAACGAAAATAATGGTTGGACAAACGTGGACAAACAGTGGACAAACGAATGCAATAATGATTTTACCAATATTCGCATTTAAGGTGCCAACTTCACAAAGCTGCTTTGAGAAGTTGGAACCTCTAAATGCGAATATTGGTAAAATCATTATTGCATTTGTTTGTCCACTGTTTGTCCACTGTTTGTCCACGTTTGTCCACCCGTTATTTTTATTTGTCCATCCTCCAAAAATAAGTTATACACAAAAAAAGATTGTAACATCCCCAAGTGATTATTTTTCGAAGTTCAAAAAAGTGATTATTTTTCGAGTTCGTATCGATTGCTTGAGAATTCATTTTACTAAAGTAATGATTTTTTCGAAAAAATACGAATAAAAAATGTCAAAAAAAACGAAGAACAACTGAATAAGATTAAAAGAAGACGAAAATCATCATCTTCATGACTATTTCAAAAAGCGGGGAAAAAAATAAGAAAATAAAAATACGAAAATCAATAATTTAAAATGAAGATAATTAATTAAAACTAAAAAAAGGAAAAAACATATGATAATCTCATAAATTAGACAAATCCGGAAAAAAATTTCAAGGATGTATAAATGCTTAAATTTTTTAAAAAATTAAGTAAAGAAAGAACCTACGTTGTAATTTTAGGGGGATTAACAAACCAGTTTGGACTTTTCCAGATTTGTTTGTGTATCCCCTATAAATCTGAATCGCGCGCGTAGCGCGCGCAGGAAAAGGCTAGTATATTAAAAAATATATGCACGAGATATCATCACATCTTTGACGACTGAGAATTATATAATACATAGTCATATAAAATAAATGTATACATACATATCTAAGAGGCGTAGAAGGTAAAGAAATAATCGGCGATCTATTCTCAGTTATCTCCAAACTTCTAGTGGGTGTGGTTACTTCTGGTATATCACTCAGTCTTGATACATTAATATCCTCCATATTAACCCGACTTAAATTTATTGTAGGCTTAGTAATAGTATGCCCACCCACCATAGGTTTTACCACTCCTTTTGCTGGTGATTTTGTTGATAATCTAACAGATGATTCTTTATCTGAAATATATTCTTATATAAAGATTAGATATTATAAAATGCTTATAATAACTAAATAATGTAAAGAAAATTAAATTATACTAAGAAATTCTTAGAATTTAATGGTATCATGTAACATATTGTTTACTTTCAGTTGAAGCAGACAGCCTCACAGCAGTATTGGCAGCAACAAGCTCTTGACACATAGAGATAGTATTTGTCATATAACCAGTCATTGTGACTAACATTTTCAATATTTCCTTTGCGTTATTCAGTACATTCGAAATTACAGTCTAAAACAAATAATAGATAATAGATTAAATTAAAAACTGTAAAATATTAGTATATGTGGTTTATAAATTTATTATATGTATAACATATATCAGTACAACTAAAGTAGATAGAGACTACATAGTAAGCATATACATTCACTGAGTTAACTTTGACTGTAACATATATTATACATATATAAATTTTTAGAATAACATGCATTGACCTTAATAAATATATATTAAAGTCATGATCTTGAACAATTCAAAAGATCCGTCGATTAGTTTGATCAGAATTGGTTCGATACACAAGCACTGTATTTTAACAGATCATATGAAATTTGATAAAATACAGTACTTGCGGAACCAATTCATATAAGTTTGTGACTCCAATTGAAGAAATATAAGCAGGTGTATTGTCATGATAGAACCAACAGTTGGTTATTTTATATACAAACCAAAGAAATTAATGAATGCATCTGTCTAAAATTTTAATAGCAGTCATGTAAAGGATTAAACTTGTTTAAAATTATAGCATTTTCGTATTTGTAACGTCATCTCTATATTAAACTGAGAATACATATATAGAAGAGATTACTGTAACTTTGACAAGAGATAACAGACTTGAGAGAAAGAGAGACATAGTTACATAAATGATACTTACATTTCGTGTGTTACATATTAGATTTAATTGCTGAATCTCTTCTACTAGCTCTATATTTTGTGTGAACAATGTCTGACTATTCTGTTTTTCTTTAGAAAGTGCTTTTGCTAAATGACTATTATTATGCTTCAATTTTTCACATACTGAAAGAAACAATTTTAGTAAAACAACTGCCATATGTTGAAAAGAGTAAGAATAGAATTACTTTAAAATTCAAATTCTCTTACATGGTCTGTAAGATCGTACTTCCTTATAGCGTGTTTTCAAGATCTGTGATCTTTTATTAGCCAGTACTCCAACCCTTTTAAATTTTCGAATCGACATTTTTGGCATATTGTATGTATGATTTCATACAATTCCTCTCATGCAATAAATCTGCATATAGACAATAGAACAATGGATAGTAATTAAAATATGGATCTTATTCTGTATAACTCTTAATGATTATAATGATATTGTTACATTATCATTACACAGGTTTCGTACATGGTAAAAAAACTGAGCAAAAGCAATGTAATAATATCATTAAGAGTTATACAATAAGGTCCTAAATCTCATAAGTTTATCCAGAAAATTCAAATAAATATAAGTTTTATCACTATTGGAATTAAAAAGAAAGGATAAATGAAATGATTATGTTAAAATTTTCATTTTTCGATATATCTTCTTATTTTGCAAAAATTATTCCATGAACGAAACAATCCTTTATTGTTGTTTATTATTGTACCTTAACTCACGTTTAACATTAATGAAGATACAAATATGCTTCCTTCTTTTTTTTTGATGAAACATACGTTACAAAAAACGTACTTCGTAAAATATAAATCCAATTTTTCTTACGTACAAGTCTTGCGTTAAAGATTTCCTTCTTTCACATGTACGAACAACCAAATAGGTGAATATTCATGATCTTCGTGATGTTTCGATCTGCATTGAACGTTGTAACAAATCAGAGATTTGATCAGAAATTCAGAATTAAAATGTCCGATATTTAAAAGATCTTGTTAAATCACACAGAGTACAACACATTATACACCATCCACACGGATCTAATACAACATATATTGGCATACATTTATATGTGTATACGTATATGTGTTTGGTCGTTGAGATCTATCATTTCAAATCACAGGTTTGTGTTTATTCCTACACTGTCTGAACTGGTGCACTCTGCAATAAGTTAAAGTAAAACAAACATATATATGTTCTTCACTCAAAGGCTCGCTCCAGTTCAGTAGAGACCTATATAATTAGAGCTCTCTCTACTCTTGAAAAATATAGGATGCTTTCCATCTGATGATGGAACACAAGTCGACACAGTGTCGTTCTATCTTTGTCACTCTAGGGCTATGTTCAGATTCCCACCCGAGTGCCACCTAGGTATCCTTATTATTTATCAAATGTTAAAACAAGGATAACATGACACCCGAGGAGCACTCGAGTGGGAATCTGAACGCGCCCTAGAATGACGCTAATGCCTATTTCCACCAATGCAAATTAACTTTAATCTCGGTTTAACTTATTGGCCGCAGCACACACTTTTGCATAACGCATGTGCATAAGGAATTTCATTGGCCCATTTTCTTATGCATGAGTCAATGGACCAATCAAATTCTTTATGTATATGGTTTATGCGTTATGCAAAAGTCTGTGCTCCCCGCTTAACTTATGTCATCAAATGGAAAACACCCTATATAGCATACAAAAAACTAGAAAAATAAATAGAATAGCGTTTTTTGCCTGACCGGATTTGCATCTGGATTAGAAAATATTTTGCTATTAGTAGACTTTACATGCACTACCAATAGGAGAGCACGAAACGTCATTGGCCGAGTTCAAGACGACAAAGTGGCTAGGTACATACATATACGCTTGCCTAGCGATTAAACATAATTGGTTATTATACTTAGCCCGGATCGGGGATCCTCATACGGACAACAGCGCTTTGACACCGAACACTGATTGGTGAAAAACGGGTTATGGGGGTAAATTTTACCTTCGCAACCGGTTTTTCATCAATCAGCGTCCAGTGTCAAAGCGCTGTTGTCCGTATGAGGGCTTATAGATCCAACCAATCATATTTGAGCGCTCGGCGGATCCACAATACACGTGTTTTAGCCCGGATCCTCATACGGGCAACAGCGCTTTGACACCAAACGCTGATTGGTGAAAAACCGGTGGCGAGGGTAAAATTTACCCCCATAATCCGTTTTTCACCAATCAGTGTCCGGTGTCAAAGCGCTGTTGTCCGTATGAGGATCCGGGCTTAAGCCTTAAGCTGCAAGAAATTAACTAATTACAGTCTAATTCGAGGAGAATAATGGACTATGATTCGTCCATTTCATATGGCTTAAGGCTTAAAGCTCTTATGTAGATCCGGACTTAATAAGACGCATTACTAATTGGTTGCTTTAAAATAAAATATTCTTATTGGTCCTCCACTGGAAAATTACTAGGCATTGGCCAATGCAAGATATGTCCAACTGGGATGTACACATTTGGAACTTTCTTCAAAATAATCTTGTGTCTGAAAATTTTGATTGTGATTTAAAAATTTTTAGTATTCTTTTATTTAACTTCATTATTTATATATTTTTATTTTATCGTTTGTAGTTTTTCTGATGTGAGAAAAATTCTCACATCTGTCACATTGAAAAAAAATTTATATTTTAAATTTATGAAAAAAAAATTGTTTATCTATACTTCGCTTCAAATTTTATAAGTTTTCTTCTCTCTCTCTCTCTCTCAAAATTATTCTTAAATTTCATAATTCGCGTTAATAAAGAATTTTAGAAAAGATACACACACACAAAGGCTGTGAAATTGATACTAAATGCGAATTTTGATAAAATCATTGCATCTGATTGATTACTATTTGTCCATTAAAAATATTTTTTGGAGGGCGGACAAAAAAATTTTTTATGGATAAAAGTGGACAATCGAATGCAATGTTGATTTTGTCAAAATTCATATTTAGGGATATTAACTTTACAGACCTCATATATAAATCTACTGAGTATTTCTTAAAAAAATGTCTTAATTTTATAAATACTAAGTTTTTTCAAAAATTATTAAATTTATATAGAATATCTGAAAAAATAGATCGAAAATTTTAATAAAAATTTTCAATTGATTTGGTTTTAATTCATATACTAGTATTGTGAATTTGTTTGTACGATAATAGGTACATACTGTATAATATAAAAAAATTTTTTGTTTCATTTTGTAATAAAAGTGGTATACTTAGCACAAACATATTATGGTAAAAAAAATTATTTTATTTTATTTTTTTGCCAATATCTTATGGTATATTTTAGTACAAAAATAAAAGGTTGCAAAACATTTCTGAATTTAAGAAGTATGTCACGTATTTTTGCACATAAAAAGTACATATAAACTACATATCAAACTACATATATAAGTATAATTCTATAATAAAATAGAATTGTCTTTAAAGTTGTAAAATTGCACCGAAATCATTTTTTCTTATATAATTTTATAAGATAAGAGTATATAATATATCCTATAATTTAGAAGTATTACAGTTTGCAGAAACATAATATAAGTATAAAATTGAAAATTTGTCAACAACCTAGTTAGATATAAAAGAACTTAATGTGAGAAAATGTATTCAATCAACATATAACATTTAAAAAACATTTTTTAAACATTTATTTAATATTTTTACACTAAATATTTAATATAAAATAAATATTCAAAAAACATTGTTTAAATAAATATAAGTAACTAGGCTCAATAAATATATATTATAATGATACAGAAGAACTACGAGCCTAATAAATTCGTTTATAATTTAACAAAAATAAATACAAAACAATTCATAAAACAGCTGTTTAATTTTGTAACATTAAACAAATTTATTAGGTTTGTAGCCCTTTTTTGTATCATTATTTATCATTTAAATATTTTTAAAATATTGTGTACTGATTCGGTAGTTATATGAGTGGCCTTTTATAAGCTTTTAATTCATTATGATTATATATAGAATGAATGTGTTCAAACATGTATTTAAAAAAGTATAAAAGATTATCATACTGTCCATTGTATCTTTGCATTAGTTCTTCACCATTAATTACAGAGTATTGGTGTGTAGAATCCGTATAACATGTATTCTTTATAATATCATTTAAGTCTAGATATTTTTTTATAGTCTCTCCATAGTCTTCATCTACCCCAAGAGCACATGTATGTAATTCTACTAGAAATTGATGGATTGATTCAATTGTTGCTAAATACCATCTTGGACTGTCCTTTTGATGACGCCAGAATTGAGAAATTCTTGACTTTAATATCACGCAACGTAATTCTGTGTTAATTATATAAAAAGAATAAGTTTTTAAATAGTGAGTAAGATTTGCATATAATAATTATAAAAGTTAAATTTTTTATTTACCTCTCAATCTTTGGTCTTTATATATTGATTTGGTTTGGTGCCATGTACTATCAATGAAAATTGCCCTTTTTATGGGCCATACAGTTTCTGTTTTTTCTCCTAAAGCATCATTTTTTCCTTCTTTTCTCACAAAAAGATCCTTAACACTTATATTCTTTGCATTATCTTTGCTAGGAAAAACTAAAACTGTCTAAAAGTAACATCCATCGAGTTAAGAACCAATTAAGAATTGAAGAGCTTGAAAGTAGATTATTGTTACCTCTTCTTTATTTGGTATCTCTGGAAAATCTGGATATATATAGATTTTTACATCTGCTGGTGCAATTATCGCAGCATGGATAGCTGTACTCTTGCCAGGTATTTCACGAGGGTGCTTAATGATGTCAATTTTAATTGGTAGCTGAAAAAGTAATATAGGGTAATTATAAAACAAACACATTAGTACATAATGTATTTTAATCCTTCTCTCAAGCAAAACAAACAAGTCATAATAATGTCCAAATAATGTTAAAATGAATTGTTACTTATTAAAAAATGATGTTTATATTAATCATATATGAGTTTTTTTACTACATTTTGATGTCATGATGATTTATCTGCTTAGGCTGTCAATACATAATTTTTCACCTTTTACTGTGTTTCACAGGACTCATGTTAAAAGTATAAAAACGAAAATGAGATAAGGTCTGTACAAAATTGTTGTTCAAGAAGATATTTTTAAGGCATTGTATAACAAAAAATATAAAAATTTTAACTTTATATTTTCAAAATTTGAAAATATCCAGATACTCATACCATGACAAAAGGATTAAATTAACGTTAAATTATATAAAAATTCAGTTTTATCTATGTGGTAATCAGTACATACCTTCACTCGTGGATAATATCTGCATGAAAGAACAGGTTGGTAACAGGTATAACAGAAAAATTTCCGTGACTTTTGACATAAATCGCACTTTCTTCTAGATTCGACCAATTTTAGTTCCCTTGTATCATTAATTTTTAAGTTACAGAAAGGATTTTCATCGATTATCTTTTGTTTTTCCTTCAGCTCCAATAATTTATCAGTAGAATGTTGAACGGTGCTTTCTGCCATTTATATTTTTGACGATAATCGGAATATTCGAAATATTATATCACTGTTTATTTATAATAACAGAACACCATAATTCCCGGTCACAAGTAAATAAACCTGATAACATCATGGAACGAAAGTACATCAGCATGGCGAATCCTTATTACTAAATAACTTTCTTGAATAGTAGCCTTTAGAGTAGTACAAAGTATAATACATAAACTTTTGAAATACATATACAGTAATCAGAACTACAAAAGTAATCAAATTCACTAAATTCTCTTACAAAGAATTTGCAATAACAAAATGTTTATATGTTATCTAATATTCATAAATTTTTGGTATTTAAGACTGTCT